TTTCCCTGAACAGCCCTGTCCCATGTCCCAATCTTAAACCATAATGCTTAACATTTCTGTGACCCTGTTTGTATGTAAAGGGTTCTAACGTTATTAATTTTTTTAAGCATACTGCATACTGAATGGTTTGGACTGAAATATAAAAGGGAAGTTTAATACTTATTTCCAGAACAATTTAAGACTTACAAATAGGATTGACCACTTTGGTGGAGTCAAGCCTTTTGGTAACTAAAGGAGATTTTACCCCTTACATGGTTTATTAGACTAGTTTCAAGCTTATGGGAACAGAGTTTGTGGTGTGTGGCATGATATACAAAGGGTGCTGAGGGCACAGAATGATTAGATGGGCTCTAATTATTTAGGTATTTTTAGTTGATTGAGTACCAGCCTCATACAAATCCCAGTAATAGCTTTAATCGCAGACAGTTTCACTCCATCAACAATCAAGATACAGGCTCTACAGTGAAAAAAATTAACATTTTTGAACAGTTAGAGAAATAATTCTGAATTGATCACACAGCAATAGCTGCCCAAAGGCTTCTTACAGTAGAGGGAAATGGAGTCCTGAGGTGATGGTGCCTTGTCTGGCAGGCAATAGTAAGAACTTGGAAAGTATCATGCAAGAAATTCTTGCATTTTTTTCAAGGACAAGACTCGTGGTGGTGGTGGTGTTGTTACTGTTGTTGTGAGGAATTATGAAAATGCAGGAAATGAGAAGGCTACAACAGAAGCAACAAAGGCATACCATTCCGTTATCCATAGTCATTCAAATAGATCACCTAACTGTGACAGCCAATGAAATTGTGCTTTCCAGGATTAATCCACAGCTAAAATGATACATCATGGTAGCAGAAAAGCTTCGGTATTGCCAACAACATGTTAGCTCCTCTTTTGACTGAGAAAACAGTGAAAGACTTGTTTGAAAAGCACGTATTTTTCTCTATGACTACGGATGCCTCAAACCGTGGCACTTTAAGGTGTTTTCAATCATTAATCATTCCTACACAACTGAAGGGCAAATAATTCACTGCTGACTTGATTATTTTCAAGGTGCTAATGAAAGAACGTTAGGAATATTTGAAAATGTAAAAAATATGTTAAATCAAGTAGTTGGAATCCTGGCTGTTTACAGTTATTTGCAGCTAATACTGTTTTTAACTCTGGGTTATGTTCCCCTGTCCACAAATCAACAGAAAGTAAGAAAGAAAAATCGTCTCTAGTCTGTTGCTCTGTACATAATCACAATCCAGAAAAATACAGTCTAATTAAATCAACATTTGATTTAGAAAAAAAAAAAATCAGTTTTCCTCATCTCATTCAGCCATTTTTTTCAGCAACAATTTCAGATTTACAGGAGATCTTATAAAATTTGAATGGGAAGAAATGGTCTCCGTGAGACAATTACGTGCATACTGTACAGGTAAAAGGACCATAATCTGTTTTCTTGCTTTTAGAAGTTACTTTGGAAATTCAGTAAACATTGTCGAGTGCCAGTTTTAAAATCCCATTTTCAAAAATAACCTTGTTGGAGGTAATAGAGAGGATTTCAGTGACAGAATGTTACTTCTTATTTTCAGGTTGTACCGAATGTTTCTTAGTAAGTCTGCCAATTAGAACAGACTGGCTTTTTACATGACCAAATGTATAAGATAGAGCATTCATTTAAGGGTAAATTGCAAAACAGCACTGATGACAAATTCTTTGGTAATAAGCTAGTCATCATGGGGGAAAGAAAAGAAAACAAAAGACATTTCACTCAGAGATACACATTAGCTTCCAGAAATGAAGCTTTGTATTTTCATATGATCAAACAGAATACAAATAAACTGGTTTAATCTTACCGAAAAACATTAATCCTTCCAGAAAAGTAAAAACTATAGGTAATTTAAAATTTCTTAAAAGGCCTGATGTTATGCAGTTAGAGATTCAGCTGGGTACTTGTCTGAGCTGAAGAAGGAGTCTTCAACTGGGAAACATTCTTGTATTCTAGTTTCACATTCTTGCTCTTTCAATTTCTTAAAATTGTTTAATTTATTAAAAAAAAAATCCTATGTAATCCGATTTGGACAGATTGTGGAATCCTCAAACAGATTCCATTCTGATTAAGTTTTTAAGAGTGTGGAATTTCGGTTATACATGTAACATGCTTTATGAATTTACTTTTAGAGACAAACATAATGAAATTTATTAAAACTCATAATAAATTATTCTTCTATCAATCCCTTCTATAACTGACTTTTGCATCAGAGAAATTTTATATTATTTCAGAAATATGTGATACACAAAAGGAGATACAGTTTCCCTAGAATTTCCCATCATGTTAACATGTAGACCTATTTTTTCCCCATATAGTTGCTCCTTACTTCTTCTCAAGGAGAATGTCTTTTCAGAAATGTGGCTGCTCTGGAGTGTAGCTTCAGTTAATGCATCCAGGTGCAGAGTGAATATGTGGTATAAGTAGGAAAAATCTTAAGCCTGTTCTGGTAGCATTGCAAATTATGTGTCTGTAAGACAAGAAATCTTAGTGACAGAACACTTTACTGTACATGACCTTGGCATCATTTCATGAGGAACATAGTTTCACCTTTCTGCCGCTGGAGAGAAACCTTATTGAATATTTTCCTGTCCTTTATTTCTTCCTGTGTTCATTATAGTTATCAATAGTTGCTGCCAAAAATTAAACGGGAAAAGAAACAATCAGAAGGACATTAGCAACATTTCTGGTGCAGCGGTAGAACAGGACATAAAGAATAGCATTAGAGTTGTAGGATGTTGCTTCATCTGGGGCATCATTTTGCTGAAACGTGATGTCCTGCCTGAACTCTCCAAGTGCAACCATTACATTTCATAAACGTCTTTCAACATAGGCATTCATCTAAATGGCAGGTAGCCAACGAAAAGCATTCCTTTTTTATATTATTATATTATACTCACCTGTATATAAGACCAACATAGAAACCTTTCTTCTGGCAGTTTCTTGCTGGATGCTGTGTGTCAGAGATCACGGTACCAGCTTTGTGCAAAGCAGCATATTGAAGCTGTTGACTTCACTGGGAACTGAGTGTCTGTTGTCAGTGAAGGTAAAGGTAATTTTCCTGACGTGTGCACAGGCTTAGCTGCATTAAAAGTGAGGAACTGAGTGCCAGTTGCGAAAGTGACCTCTGTCCCTTCCTAGCAGAGTGAATACACGAATATCATACCCCCTTATCTGCTTGGTTGAGGACCGCAGCAATTACAAAGATTAATGTAAAGGATGTACTGATCTAACATTCACTTCTAAAAAGGATTAACGGAGAGAGTAAAAAGGATGAAATTACAATTCGGACACTAAATGGAAATGTGCATTTAGTTTTACTGGGAAAATTTTGTTTTCTCATTTGTACATTCTGACTGAACATTATAAATACTTTAAATAAAAAAAAAAAGGGTGAAGTGTCAATGCAACTAATTTCAACCAACCCTGATTTACTTACTTATAAAAATGTTGCTTTGCTTTTTATGACCTAAGTTTACAAGGAGATAAATGCATTTTTTTAAGAGCTAAATAGTTGAGGAGATCTGTGAACCATTTAGCTTGAGTTGAAATGTTTTTATTAAGTTGAATGGAGTTACAGTGGCCCATTGCAGAGATATTTTGAACAATGATCATTGCTGGCATGTTCTAGTTGCAGTAGTAAAGGAGATGCAAAATGGGAGTTGGACAGTGGTGTAAGCACGGCCCTGCTTCTAGGCTAACGTAATCTGTTTTTCAGCCAGAGTAGTTTGCCTCGATGGAAACCACAATGACACATCTGTGCTGCTTCTGGCACCCACTTTGCTCAGATCTAGCTGGAGTACCTTCTCAGGACACTGTATTAGAGAGCTCAAGGGTTTTCTTCCCTTTGGCAGGGTAGAAATCCTAAACATCCTAAATCCTAAAATCCTTAATATTAAAGATGTACAATCTACTAGAAGGGAATTATGGCTGCTCCTAAATTTAATCAAGATAAAGCATTCATATAAAATAACCTCAAATATGAATATGGTGCAAAAATTTGTCGTGCAAAAATTTGTCCTGTAAAAAGACAGCACTGTCATTAGCCAGCTGTATACAAATGGTCTTTGATTCTATACATACTGATTCTCACATGTGAGCTAAAAAAAGTAACTCTACTCGCTCAGCATTTGGAGAAACCCATAGACATGTCTGGCATATTTTTTATAGAAGATGAATGTGCCAAATTCTTGTCACTGGACTTTCAAGGACTAAAATGACACGGAGTTTTGTGTAAAGAAGCAAGATCAGCACTCTACCATCTTAAAGCTGGTGAATTAAGGGTGTCCTTTTTTAAGGTTTAGAGCTAGGTAGCAATAAGGGTACGCTGCGCACATTACATGAGGTCGCATCCTTTAAGTCTGTGGAGGTGTGCAACATTGTCCTCACTGAGGTGAAAGAAAAGTATCTTCAGCTTAAAATCTGTCAGCTTTCCTGGGAAAATAAAGCTAATAATACAATGAAAAATGGTAGTGAGATAGGCTGTGAAGAAAAATGGCCCTTAATGCTGTTGGTGGCTAGGCTTTAATTCCTAAGGTGATCCATTACCTGGTATTTGGATACATGCTAGCACCACTTACGCACCTATTGATCGTGTGCCGTCTAGAGATGAGAGGCCCAGAGTGTGTTTTTGAATAGGATTACAGTATGAGTGAATTAGGTTTTCTGGTGTTATAACATCAGCTTTGGAAGGACAGCTTGCCAAAAAGGTAATAGTGCAGGAGAACCAGATGGCTCTTAGCAAAAACACTGTCCTCAGTTCAGAATACAAGCTCTTCTAACTACCTATAAATAAAAAAAAAAAAAAAAACCAAAAACAAAAACCCACAATACTGTTTGTATAATAGTATTTCTTTTTACACCTTCCCTTTTAAAACTTAGGAATAGACAAACAAAAATGCAATAAAAGCAAGTTCAGAGTGGTAAAAGGCAAAGACATACCAGATTTTCCACATAGCCTTAATTCTCCTTTGTTCAGATATACCAAGAATGCATCTACCAGGGGACCTAAGGTGATGGTTTCCTCTGGGTTATCCCCAGCCCCTGTATTAGCCTGTGTTGTAGAGCATACGCTTTGTGTCACATCAGCAAACGCCATCCCTGTCATGGATGCGGCCACCCTGAGATACTGAGAGTGTCTCTCATGATGTGGTCAGATGGCCGGTTCTACAGGGTTCACAGGTAGAGAGCAGTTTGGAAAGAGGGATAGGAACATAAACAAATGCAAACATGACCTTTCCCAGCCTCTCGTGGCTGGAATTCACAATTCAAATACCGTTGTTTGCACAGTGTCTTCCATGGAGTATTAAGTGCAAAAATCAGCATGTTTGTATGTTCCCCTCTATCATTTTTGCCTGTTTCTCCATATGTATTTTAATTTCTGCAGTTACACCTACTATAACTGCTTACCTACAGGAACACAGCAGTAAACATGGAGTGAAAGAAAGGATGAGATTCATGTAAATTATGATATTAGCTGATTCAGCGCAGTAAGCTAGTGACCGCTCAGCTCTTAGCATTTGGGGTACATGAGGTATCTACAGATTTCACAAACATGTTTTTTCAATTCTGCTGTAGCGTGACCTGAAAATGAGTGGCTGAACAATTGGTAACAAACAGATCAATTAATTTATTCAATTTGCACCCACCCACCCCAAAAGACGTTGCCATAATCAGGGGAATTTGCTATTCTCTACCCTACGTGTGTTGCTCCCGTTCATCTTTCACACCTTTTTTATCAGTCTGCCCTGTGACAAAGAAGTTTCTGCAAATTGTATCTGAACAGTCACAGGACTGTTCAGAGATGATGGAAAAAATGTGCTAGTGCAGAAATTGTTATGGCACAGGACCAAGGCAAGTGAGATGTTTGGCCTGCTTTCTAAAGTAGCTAGAGGAAAAAAAAAAAGGGGGGGAAAAAAATTTCCTCAGGCAATAAAAAAAGAAACACCTTGGCCTGAACTTATCCTGCCGCTCTACACCTGAGTAGACCTTATCAAAGACAAAATAGCAGTGGGAAGTGTGGAACTGATTTCAATTTGCTTATCATGCTTTCATTGCAGGAATATCAAATTGATATATTTTTTGCCCAGACGTGGACAGACAGCCGTCTTCGCTTCAATAGCACCATGAAGATACTGACTCTGAACAGCAACATGGTTGGCTTGATCTGGATCCCAGACACGATATTTCGTAACTCAAAGACGGCAGAGGCTCACTGGATCACCACCCCCAACCAGCTCCTCCGCATATGGAACGATGGCAAGATCCTGTACACCCTCAGGTGAGCACTTGGCGACTTGCAGGGCTGAAAGCTTCTCCGCGCCCTGGCGTAGTAGTAGCAATTTTCAGTGGTACCTTTGTTCTCCTCTGCTGTTTTCTTCCCGATGCTTACCTGACATTGCTTGACAAATACTGAAATATTTAGGTGTAAGTGCTGCAGAGTTTAAAAAACAAAGTCTTGTCTTTCTAAAAATGAAACCTTAAGAATTGGAAATAGGTCTGTCTAAATTGTAGAAGCTGGGCTTTTTAGTGCTTTTAATAAAATCGGGAGCATGTAGTCCCATAAAACCTGTCAGAAACCTTTCTGATCCAAGTTAGACACAGGACTGGATAAAGTATCTCTAGATTCATGCTAATGCCAATACTTGATTCTTCAAATAAGTCACACTGAAAGATAGTCTGTCACATCTCATCACACGGGTGAATTGCTGGAGGAAAGGCTTTTAGAGTTCTTCTAAACTTTGTGATACCATCAACTGTCTGGTATTAGATATACTGTATATATTTGCATTAATAAAGCCTGTGGAAATCAAAATATGTGTTTACTTATGGAAGAGATGAATTACTTAGAAGGGAGTTTTGCCATAAGCCGTATTCCACATGGCAAACTTTTTCAGAAACATCCCTTTCACGCTACATTTTCTTCAGTGATTGTGTTCAGCATATTCTGATCATACTTGCAATTACAGTTGAGCTCCAATAGCAAGTCTTTGGCAAACAGTAAGAAAGGAATTAAACAGCTGGAAATGCTACTGACATTTTTAGTGTCTTTCCGTTCCTAGGCTTCCTCCACTGTGACAGAGGTTTTGCTTATTTCAGTAGCCTTTAGCTAAAGACTTTGGTGATTAGGATGTCAAGTCCAATACCCTCTTGGTTGGGTGGTTGGTTTTTTTTTTTTCGTTTTTTTTTTTTTTCTATTGAGTCCTGTTTCAGTATTTCAGGGAAAGTTAAGTATCTACCTAATAGTAATTAAACTTGCATACCTATCACTAAAGAAACTCATTGTTGAATGGACTGCAAAATTTGTCTAAGACAGCTAAAAAAGGGGTAATACTTGACCCAGTGGATTTTTTGAATGAGCATTTTTAGTTTGTGAAAGATGTTTTGAGTCCTTTTCACCCACTCAGGTCAGCCTCCTTTTTACATAGGAAGAGCTGTTAGAATGGTCATTGTTCACTGAGAACACCGTGTAATTCATAAACAATTTATCTGATTTAACTGAGCACGCAGAACTGGTATGGCATGGAAGTGGTAACTACTGTATGTCCTGGTACTGTCAGGTGCTGATGAGTGTTCTGCGTTCAGGAGAAAGTGTGCGAGGTTCAATCATGTTCCATGCCTTTCCATCCTCTTACTTGCCCACTTTTGGGTGTGAAAACACTCCTACTGTAACACTGCATATTCTCTTCTAGCGTCAGTGCAAAAATGCTGTTGAGTTCCTCACAGGTGACCTTCTCCAAGACAGAAGTTTTCTCTGTGCCATACTATAATTTGAGACACAAACCTTTCCCAATCCAGTTTGTTAGCTTTTGAATTATTTTAAAAAACAAAAAAACCCACGCCAACAAAAACAACTCGTGCCCCATACTTACTGCATAAATTCAGGCATGCAATTAACATAGTCTCTGTTTCCTGAAAAAGACTGGGTAAGAAACTAGCACTTAATGTAATCTACCAGGGTAAATATATTTACTTTGTAAACTATCAGACTGAAGATTATCTGGTTTTAATAGTAATTTTAAAATCAGCTCCATTCATAGTATCCTTTGGGTTAGGGATATCACACAAAACAAGCTTTCAAGTGGGGCTGAAGACATTTCTGCTGATCTGTTACATCTGTACAACTGAGAATGGCATACATATATTTATTAAGTTTTTGAGAGATAGCCCAAAACAATTGAAAGAATTTTAAGTTCACGCTATAAGTAAATGCAAAGAATGTTCCTTAAAAGAGTCTTTATGAGGTTCTAATTTTGTGGAATTACATACCATTATTTTTGTAAAGAGCAGTTGTTTCCATCCCGTGTCCTTCGATGATGAATTGTCTGGAGAAAAACATATGCACAGACTTCTTGGGATCAGAAAACTCTTAATGATGTCTTTGAAATTATTTCTGGTTTTAGTTAATTATTCTTGATTTGGATCAGGCCTAAATAGACAATGAGCAACCTGCATATATAGTCCTTTCCTTTCAGGCCTTACTTATGGATGACAAAGCGCTCTTGCATGATACCTAAGGTTACTCAGCCGCCTCCTCCGACTGCTCATTGTGCTGATGTGCAGTAACAGACGCTTGGTTTCTCCGTAGGCTTACCATCAACGCTGAGTGCCAGCTGCAGCTGCACAATTTCCCAATGGATGAACACTCGTGCCCACTGATATTCTCTAGCTGTAAGTACTGCTTTGATGCCTTATTGTTGTATATGAGCAGTATGCAGAGGCACAAGTTCAATTCTGATTTCTGATAGGTTGTTCAACAGTTCCACAACAGGTATAGGAAGGTTAGGTTTGCTTAAATTTTTGTTTTCCTCCCTAGCACTCGTGGTCTATGGATTTATGCCATGAAGTTTTCTGTAGATTAACTCTGTTATTTTTGCCAGAACCAGCCTTTTTAGTTGATACAATAGTCACACCTTCAGCAGGAGCAGATATTCATGGCAGTCTGTACTTTGTTAATCTACACAATCGTATGACGTGCAAATGAGAATAGAAATTGCATGGTTTTTGTGGAGGTGCACAGCTTGAGGACAAGCCCAGCAACCTCTGAACATCTGAGTTTATAGCAAGTAGCATGGTAACCCCTCTGTCTTCCATAATAAATGGTGTAACTACTGTAAATCTCATTTTCCTTTTATAGCTCAGCTTGCCCACTAGTCCCAATGTTGTATTGTATGTAGTATTGTTGGTATATTTAAAATCTACCTAACAAACAGGCAAAACAAATACACTGGTGAAATGGATGGAAAACAAAAGTCAGGTGAGTTAAGCTTAAGGTCCAATATTACTGTGCGGAAAAGTTATCTTCATGCTGATTCATTTGAGAAAGCTTGAGAGCTGTCTGCTCATGGGTACACCTGCACAGTTTTGTAATCCAAACTCACACAATGCAAATGTTTTACAAACATTTTTAAAAGGGTCCCCACTACAGATTTTTTATTTGATAAACTCCAAGACTCAGGATCTGTGTTCTCCAGAAGTCAATGGGAAATTTATTGTTCTGTCTTTCTATTTAGAAAATAGCCTTTTCTCCATCACCTCTTAAAAAGCGATAGAAGAATAACAACACTATTGAATGTCTTCATAATATATATGCAGTTGTGATAGTAGGGTATTGATTTCCATTTATGACTATTATACAATGATCCTCAATCAGAAACAGGATTTGGATTTCAGCTGATCCAGGGTGTATTCTTTTTCCCCAGGAAAAGGTTTTAAAAAAATCTGCCAGTGTACACATGTCCCTTTCCCCAAAAACGTTATCACTACATTGCCATTTTTTATGATCTATGTACATAAGTGAGCCTGGGCAAAAATACACAGTGGTGTGTTTAATTCAGGTGTGTGGAGTATGTGCATACTCAACTGAACAGGGAGGCAGATACCTCCTGAATGAGCTTTATTGCTAATGAACACTTGTCGCTGAACTATACCCACCTCAGCTATCTTCAGTTGCTGCATAAAACTTCTCTTAGCTTTATTATTGCCTTGTGGCAATCTGCTTTTGATTTGTTGAGGTACTGGGAAAGGAGTGTGTGATCTTAAAAATTAAATCCCAGTCCAGAGATACTAACTAAACCTACTACATAAATTTGGTAGGTCCTGCGCTAGCAATATCCAAAGAAGGAGAACTCTACTAGACAGGGAAGTTGCTTCAAACCTTACATTCCCTAATACCTAGACAGTTGCTGAATGCAAGTGTGTTATGCTCTGGTTTTTTTTTTTTTTTTTTTTTTTAAAGAGAGGTGATATCAGTGTGAACTTCAGAAGGCTCCGCTCCATGGCAAAGTTTCAAATAAGTCTTGATTTGCAGAGGTTCCTCCTAATTTAGTTCTATTAGCTTGGAGCCCTTCTGCCCTTGAAAATATACATGTATTATCATCATACATGTACTACCCTCTATGGAGATGGAGATTACATAAGATCAAGCAGAAGCTGAATGTATCACAGTTTCTATGTGCATTATTTGTAGCTTCTTGCCAGATGGAAAAACCCATGGAGGAATATTAAAAAAATGTTTTGTAGTTTCGTCAAGATTTTTGGTCATGTTGATAACAAGAGTTTATTTCTTTAGGTTTATACCTAATTGTGTTATTTTCATTGAACACTTTTAGCACTACTATTGTCATAATAGTAGGACATCTCCTGTGTGATTTCTTTGTTTCATAACTCGATTGTATTTTCAGTGTTATGTACATTCATAGCAGTCTTGAGATACATGGCACTCAGTGGGACTTATGAAGTGGATGACTGAGTGAATGCCTGAATGATTTATTACTGCCTGCTATGACAAGTTTCTGAGGGGACATGCTGATTATGGGTTCCAAGATGTATGTCATGCTTTGAATAAAATGAAAATGGTTGCAGAATTCACAGCACAGCACCGCTTCCCTCTGCATCCCTCTTGTTTGTTCCCCGGCACACAGATGAGCCTTCACAGTTTCCACTGTAAGCAAGCACAAAAAAGCATGAATTTCAGACAAAAATCTCTGCGTCTCTACACACACATGAACAAGGTTAATATTTGAAATTTCTTGCTTTTTATATAAATTTTCCTGTATTTTTCAGAAATGTGAAACTAATCTCAAATAGTTTCTCGAGTATTTTCCTCTAGAGCCAACTAATTCGCACCGTAACCCTGTTGTTGCTCTGGGCAGAGTTGCTATTCCTTAGGTGGGAATACTGAGCCCTACTTGGTCTGGTTGCCAGGATGAATAAGGAGAAAACAGTGGCTTATAAACAAAAGACACATCTTAGTGTGCTAACAGTGGTCACTAAAACCTATCTACCCTTTCCTGTTGAAAATTGCGTTCAAGAACAGTTCCTGGAGCTCTCTAGTCTCTTTGCTTATAGGAATTAGAAAGTATTGAAATAATTTGAAACCTTTTTACCCCCTGTGCAAGTTTTGTATGTGCTTCAGGTGACGTCATGAGATGAAACACGTGTCTGTTGTTACAGTCCTTGCGTAGATGTGCACTTAGCACACGGCTTATATGAAAAGTTGAACCCAATGGCATAATGCCAGTCTGCTAGGCAATGCCACAGCTCTTTCCCACTCCATGTACTAGACTGGTTTGATCAACCACATTTGGCAAGTTAGATTCCTTAATACAGAGATGCTACACCATTGGCATCAACGCCAATGCATGGTATGAATGTGTGTTTCCCTGTAAATGTAGAGAAAGAATCAATGCTGCGACTTGATCCCACAGTTGCATTCTTGGACAGATTTTGCTCTAAATGATCACATTTTCTTCTTGTGGTTTTAAAGAACTATATACTATGGCATAAAAATATTCTGTCAGTGTCATTCTTTATTTGGGTTAATTTATCCTCCTCAGCCAAGGGAGGCTGCTGTGCTACTTTTGGTACTCAAGTAGCATATTAAACTGTCTTGGTTATCTCTATTCAGCACTGATTTGAGCATTGTGGAAATAACTTAATTTCTGGATTCTGACATAAAATTTAGTATACTAAGGTAGTTAGTATTCACATAAACATCAGTAAGAAAGAAGTATTCTCTCTGAAGGACAATGTCAGTACTAAATTTTTTAGACAGGTTTACTCTTCGCTGGGTGA